CTACCGCTTTGCCAAGAGGTGTAGGCATGTCACTTGGGAGTTCATCCTTAGTGAACTCATAGAACTGTGAGTAATCAGCTTTCTTTAATGGTCTAAGATGGTCAGCATAACCACAATCCATCACAAGCACACAATCAGGGTGCTTCTGTAAACAGCCAAAATATGTAAGGCAGCATGAAAGTGACCTTCACGAGGCATTGCATTGTAAGACGAAAGCATAGACACTTCGGCAGCGACATCGATACGACCAAGTTCCACAAGCCAGCACAGAATACCAATGAGTTGCATGTAGAAAATAGCAGTATCATCATCGATAAAAGGAGTAGAATCAAGTTCCGGCTTGTATCCAGTGGGTAAAGTTGAGTAAACCTTTTTCTTCAAAGTCAATTGCATTGGCGCAATTCGTTTCTTGACAACTCTTAACGACTCTTGTAGGTACTCTTCAGATCCAATAGCCCAGGTGAAATAATCATCACCATCCAATTTGCATTCATCAGTATAAATCAAAATATACTCATAATATTTTGAACCATCTTTGCGTTGACAAGGACGACGCCAAACATCCATATCTCCACAACATGGTTGGAACTCCAATTGTTCCTTCAAAACGTCTGCACAGAGGCTCCTCCATGCGAACCCGGAACTTTTGAGTCCGTAAACAACCTTAACCAGGATAGCTTTCTTCCCGGCATATTCTCCAAACTCCTTCCCTAAAATACAATAAAATTTCTCGGCACATTTGGCATTCAGATATGCACCGGAGACGTCAGCACTCAAAACATTCAAACCATTCAAAGCAGCAATAACAAAAGCAAGTCAAATACTTTCCCTTGTCACAACACTTGCATAGGTGACAGACATTGGAGGGTCCGTTTGGTCCCCTCTAGCACATATTCGTGCCTTCCGCGTGAGATCCATCTTGACATCGAAAACAGTCATAAGCTCAATGAGCTGGTATCCGACCGGAACATCTTCATCATCTTCCAGAATTCTCAGAGCTGGTAGAATTGTTTTGACCTCTTTGATCAAGGCATCATTCCAATGTGAGGTACCATTCTGAGCATCAAGTTCATACGCACGTGCAACGCCTTTCGGACCAGGACCAGGCACTTCAATACCAAACTTTTCTGGCTTCTGTCTTTTCACAGCACGGCGCTTAACAGCTTTCAAAACTTGATCACGCTTTCTCAAAGTGTAGGGAACCCACCACGCAAAGGCAGGCTCTGACACAAGCTTGTTTGCAACAGCATATTTCGTGACCTCGATAGGAAACGCTTCTTTTGCTACTGATAGATCAAGCCATTTGGTTTCTCCACCTTTCATTTCAGCTAATAATTTCCATCCTTTAGTTGTCTTTCGTGGACGCTTGAGACCGTTGGAGGTAGTATACCACCCGTCGTCCCCTTTAACTGCTCGTCCATCACGTTGGTGATCAATAAATTCGCGAATCCGGTACATCGTATTACCTTCATCATCGACATTCATCATTATCCCTTCAATAATCTGATTTTTCCAGATGAGTCATGCTTCCGACCTTGAACAACTCCGAAAGTCTCAACTCCATCTGCATTAAACAATACTTTTGCAGAGACATATTTGTCGAACTCAACAGGATCTGATTCTTGATCTGGCGGCTCTTCAAAATCATCTTCAATCTTGTGGCGAGGATCTTCTTGTGGGTGATCTTCATATTGTGCATACTGCGGGTAACCACCATCTTTGATTGCAGAGATCGGCATGTTGTATTTATGCCGAATGCGATCAAGTTCTTCTTCAGAGATAGAAACTCCATCAGACTTCTTCTTCAGATTCTTCTTCAGATCTTCCATAAATTCTTTCTTCTTCTCTTCCATTGGTTCACTGTTTCGTTCTTCGGCTGATAAAGGAATCACTGACAATCGTTGTAGCACTTGTCCATTGGCAATAGCAACAGCAAAACAAAGAGCTGCTCCAATAGTAAAACTTGGACCAAGCCAACGACATAATTGTTTCCCATCCTTAGATGAGCGATTAGGTGAAAGGCACCAACACCAATCCCAAATAGCAAAATCAACCAGGTGACAGATATTGTTAGAATAAAGCAAAATGTGCTCTATCGTGAGTGCCTTTAGCTCTCAGAACAAACTCTCTGCAATCTAAATTCGTAATCAATTGTACAACACTTTCACGACAATAGTTCTCCTGTGTCTAGGTATACTTTGAGTGAAATTGTTCCTATTTGATTAATGTTTGGCTTGAAT